CCACCCTCCCCACTCTCCCTACTCCCTCCCGCCCCTTATATTTTATGAGCCTAAAAATGTGGCATCGAATATTTAAAATGATGATGATGATGATGAATCGTGGGCTATTATTATTATTATTATTATTATTATTATTGTTTTTTTTATTTATTTATTTAGTTATTAAAAAATTAAATTAGTTTGAATCGGTGATAAATAAATAAATAAATAAATACTTTTTAGGTAAATTAGTGAAAGTTGTGAAAAAAAAATAGAACTTTTAAAAAATGAAGTGAAAAATTTATTTATGTAATAATAATAATAATAATAATAATAATTAAATTTAATACATTAAAAATTAATATTCTATTTAAATAAAAAAAAAAAAAAATTTATATACATATATTAATAATAATAATTCACCGTATATATATATATAATGATTAGGTGAAAAAATAAAAATAGTATTAGTTTTTTTTTTTTTTTTGGGTAAATATGTGGGCTCTAATTAATTAATTGAAAATTAAATTACACGGGGGGGGGGTGGGAGGGGAGGGGAAACGGTAATTTTTATTTTTTAATAATAATAAAAAAAATTGCTCATAACATTCCAGGTTTAAATTTAAAAAAAAAAATTAGTTTTTTTTGGAATGTATTGTAATTATCCTGTACTATTATTTCTATACAGCGGACGGAAAAATTATTATTATTATTATTATTATTATTATTATTATTATTTCGAATACTCGACGGTTTTATAATTAAAAAAATAAAACGTTAATATTTACTTAATTAAATACAAAAAATTAAATTTTTGTTTAAACAAAAAGAAAAGAGAAATGTAAATAAGTACACATTATTTATTAACAGATGAAAAATAATAATAAAAAAATAAAAAAAAAAATTAAGAAAACAAAATTTTTAGGTTTGGTTGGGGTTATAAAAAAAAAAAAAAGTTTTCTAAACTCAATATATATATATTAAATTATTATTATTATTATTATTATTATTTTGATTTTGCTTAACTGTTGTTTTTGGTAGCATTCAGTTTTTTTGAATGTTGAAAAAAAAAATATATATATATATATATAATTGTTATTATTATTATTTTAATAATTTATTTATTTATTTTTTGTTGTTGTTGTTGTTAATAATATGGAAAGTTCTTTTGATCTCCTTTCTATAATTTCTAAAAAAAGGAAAACGTTATATGACGTCACTTCCGTTTTATTACCTAAAAATTATTATTATTATTATTATTAATGATTGTTAATGTGATGTGAGTTATTGTTAAATGATAAAAAATTTTTTTTGCGAATACCTAAAAGCTCAAGAACTGCATTATTTTCACTTCTTAAAACTTCATAAACGTTTTTAATTGATTTTAATAATTTTGTACTCGCACAACGTGTTTCCATTAATTTATTTAATAATTTATCCGATTCGTTTTTTTTTATTTTTAATTCTTCTTCCAATCCTTGAATGACAATTTTTTTCTCATTTGCTTTTACTTCATTTGCTATATGTTGTTCATGGACATTTTTTTCAACTTCTTTAACTTGTTCGTGAAGTATTTCCAACTGTAATAATAATAATAATATAATACACGGTAAAAGTAAATAATTAATGGCGATCGATTCTTACTTCGTTATTTAATTCGTTAACGTAATTAAAAAGTGCAAAATTTTCTTCTTCTTGTTTAAGAAATTGTGCCGAAAGTTTATCAACGTTTGATTCTTCCGTTATTTTTCTTATTTGTTCTAATAATAATTGATAGTTTTTTATTTGTTTTTCTAATTCTTCTTTTTGTTGTTCTATAAAACACGATTAAATTTCAATAACAAAAAACAAACAAAAAAAAATTAAAAACAAATTTCAGTTTATTGTTTAAAGCAAAGGAAAAATAAAACGTTAACGGTTTTTTTTGTTTACAAATTACGTTGTTTCAAAACTTGTTTCGCTTCTAAATCGGCCATTATCCTTTTTTGTCCTTTGACGCCTAAAAAGTTTTGAAGCTTTGAATCGTGATCTAATTGTCGTTGAAGTTCTTTCATTTCTTGACTATGAATTAATACATCAAGTTTTCCTTTTTGTTTTAATGCTTCTAATTTTGATTGTGCTTCTTCTCTGATTAAAATAGAAAATAAAAACAAACATGTCTTCTTTTTGTTTTTAAATATGTTTTGTTTCAAAAAGAATAATGTTGGAAAAATTACCTTTGATCGTAAGCTAAAGTACTTTGTTCCATTAAATCTAATATTATTTGTTTACCCGTAATAAATTTCGATTCTAATTCTTGATATGATTGATTGAAAAATGTTCTTTCTTTTAAATAATGATCAATTTTTTCTCTATATTTATAATTACATGATTGTAAACGATTTAATTTTGTTATTGCCTGAAATAATTTACATCTATCATAACATTTAATCATAAATTTTTTTTATTTGTAGAAATAAAAATTAATATTTACAACATCTAATTTGTTTTCGAGTTGTTGTTGAGATTTGAATTTATTTTCAAATTCATTTAAATTAAATTTTTTTAATTTAACATCTTGTCGAACATTGTCAAATTCTTTTAATATTTTATTCTTTTGATAATCTAATTCTTTTATTTGAGTTTTTTCACGATTAATATTTTTATTTAAATTTTCATGCATGACAAGTAATTCTTTAAGTTTTTTCCCTTTTTTTTTTGTTTTATTATCATCATTTAAACATTTAACA